TTGCCAATGGTTATTTCTCACACTAGCAGCAGCCCTCATTTGCAGAGCAGAACCATAGTTCTTTCTCCCATGTTTTTATCATCCCTTTTCACATCATAGGAACATCAACTCCATCTATCGTTGCGTTGTCTAACACTCAACAAGTGGTTTCATTGAAGCTTACATACACCAATTATCTTTATTGAAATACAAATGAAGCCGTATCTTCTTGGTCAAGGTGTTTTTCACTTCGTCAATGGCTTAGTGTCGTGTCCTCCCTCTCATGTTTCTAATAGTTTTGATGGTTCTTCAACAATCAACCCCTCTTTTCTTCGTTAAAAGCAACAGGATCAACTTATTTTAAGTGTGTTAGTATCCTCTCTTTTTATAGATATATTGCATCTTGTGGTAGATTGTCAGACTTCTTATTGTGTTTGGTGCACTCTTGAGAAAATACTTACCTCTCCATTGAATTCTCGCACTATGCAATTCCATGGATCTTTTCAAGATCTTCAGCAAGGAGATGCTTCAGTTGCTACATATATACAACACGCCAAGTCATTGTTTGATGAATTGGCTGTTATTGGCCGACCCCTTTCTCTTCAAGACTTCAATCTCTATATATTTTATGGTTTTCATGGTGAGTATAAAGACTTGGTAACTAGTCCCGTGATCAAGGCAGAACCATTATCATACACTAACCTTTATAGCTATCTTCTTACTCATGAGTTTCTATATAAGTCTTCCCTTCAATTCATGGTTGCAAATTCACCTTTCATGCCCACACCATCTCTTTTTCCATCTGCTCATCATGCCCAACGCCAGTACAACCCTAATTTTAGCCGTAATAGATGTCATTCTCATGGCAACTAGTGCCTTAATAGCAATCGACATAACAGTTAACACATGTCAAACTTTCATGGTTTCATTCCTGTACTCCCATAGACTGGAAGTAGGGCAATTGATAGCATACCCGGTGATCTACTAGTTCTAGGCAATGGTCTCATCACCAGTCTTTTGAGCAGAATGTCAAGTGTCAGTTGTGCTTCTTCATCGGATATACAGCCCTACAATATGCTTAATTTCATAACAGTGGCCACCAACCCTCTACTCATCTTGTTGTTGGCACTGTTTTTACCCCTACTTGGTACTCGAACACTAGTGTGAACTAACATGTTACATCTAATCTTGTGACTTTAATCGATTATGCGCCCTATTTTGGTAATGATCACTTGCTTGTTGGTGATGGTAAGGGTTTTTCCATATCCCACATTGAGCATACTATGTTACGTTCCCCTAAACACACCTTTACATAATCTAACGTTCTCCATGTTTCTCATATTACCAAACCATTGTTATCTGTTCAGAAATTTTATCGTGAGAATAATATTTATTTTGAATTTCATGCCTCTATGTTTTATGTAAAGGATCTTACCACCAAAGCAATGCTCATTTCCTATCAGAGCAATGATGGTCTATATATTTTCTTTAAGTCTTCTACCACCACCATTCCTCAAGCTTATTGGTCTTTTTGTGTCTTTACGACTACTGATTTATGGCATCATTGATTGGGTCATCTTACTTTTTATATTTTCAATTTGTTAGTTTTCAAAAATCAAATAACATGTACTTCTAAACGCTCTCTTGTTTAATATCAAACTTGTCTGTTTGACAAGTCTTTGCGTCTGTCATTGCAACATATGGGTCACAAAACTACTGCTTTATTTGATTTAATATTTAGTAATGTTTGGGGTCTTGCTACTATGTTTTTCTCTGATGGTTTTCATTATTTTGTCAGCTTTATCGATGTGCATACAAAATATATATGGTATTATGCTCTTGTTGCAAAATTCGATATGTTTTCTATATTCCAATGTTTTCAAGTGCTTGTTAAGCATTCGTTTTCCTACAAAATTAAATCTGTTTAAATTGATTGGGGTGGTAAATATCATAAGTTAAATATTTTCTTTCAAACTATTGATATTCATCATATGTTAATTTTTCCTCATATATATGAGCAAAATGACAGCATTAAGCATCACCATCATCATATTGTCGAAACTGGTCTTACCCTTCCAGACCAATGTAGTGCTCCGTTATGATTTTGGAATTATATTTTTGAATCATCACTATATCTCATCAATCGAATGCTACTATTATCCTTTAAAAACAGTCTTTTTTTGAATGTTTATTTAATCGTACTTCTAATTATGATTTTTTTACGTACTTTTAAGTGTTTTTTTTCTTTTTTCTTTTTACATCTATACCATACTCATAAGTTGGATTTCTGTTCATCTCCATGTGTGTTCTTAAGATATAGTTCCTCTTATCTTGGTTATCACCATCTTGATTTAGCATCTCAACATATATATGTCTCTCATCATATTTGTTTTCATGAAGATGTGTTTCTTTTTACAAAATCTAAATAAATAGCTACCCAACCTCCAACCATTTCTTCCCAACTTACACACTTTTCCACCTTGATTACCTCCCTAAATTTTCACCTAGCTAACCCGTTATACCTCATGCTCCACACAAACAACCCCCCATCCCCCAACCTTGTTTGCCACCATACCACCGTCACCCAGCCCTACCCCTATATCACCAACTACATGTTTCTTTAATAATCATTATGCAGGAATAGGTTCTCCTCTTTCAAAATTGCATATTTCCAGGTCTGTCATTATAGACAACACTGATTCTATAGCAGGTTCTCCTACATCTGCTATTGCGAGCTTAAGTCCTTCGACATATTCTTTTACAGGTTTGTAACTCTTTGTTGATCTTTCCTTTTATCCTCTTCAGCAGCTTCCCAATTTAGATTCTTCTTCCCCTTGGTTTGCCACTCATCAACATCTAATGGTTCTTCGTCCTCGACTATTAAAAATTACCATGCTAGTAGCATTTGCAACCTCCTTTATTGCTCCTATCTATTGAGTAATGTCTTCTCCTAACTATAAGCCCATTGCATTCTCTGATGCCGATAGGTATGTGTTAGACATGATGTTATGCGCGATAAAATTCAGGCCTTATGCTATAATAACACCTGGTTTTTGGTCCCTTTTCATCCTTTGATGAATGTTGTTGGTATTTTGCTCTTCCCTCTTATGTGTGCCAGTTGCATAAATCTTTATATTGTTTAAAGACTTATATGAGTGATTTTTTTATTTCTATTAACTTTTATACTTCCAAGGTCGACATATTTTTATTTATCTTATTTGTTAGTGCTGATATCTTTTATCTTTTGGTTTATCTTAATGACATTCTGCTTACGGGTAACAACTTTACTATGCTGTACTGCCTAATGTAGTTATTAAGTTCAGAGTTTAAGCTTCGTGACTTAAGCATCGTTCATTATTTTTTGGGCATTGAGGTTCAGTCCACTATTATGGGTATGATGTTATGACAACATAAATATATTCCTGACATCCTCACTCAAGCTGATATGACTTCTTATGAATCGGTTGATACTCCTATCTTTATTTCCAAAGTCACCGTGCTGCCAAATCCCTTGATTTCCAATCCTATATGGTTTTGTCAAATTATGAGTGCTCTTTAATATCTCACCTTCACAAGACCAGATATTTATTTGTTGTTAACAAAGTCTGTCAGTTTATACATGCTCCTACAAATTCTCATCAGGGTGCCACTAAATGCATTATGCGTTATCTCCAGGGTACGACCACCTATAACTTCCATATCACTCATAGTTCCTCCTTTGCTCTACATGACTTTACAGATACAGATTGGGTAGGTAGTATTGATGATCGCAAGTCTATGAATGGTTATCTTGTCTTCTTTGGTCAGATGCCAGTTTCATGAAAATCAAGCAAGCAACGCATAGTTGCTTGCTCCTCCACTGAGGATGAGTATAAAGCCTTGGTAGATGGCACTGTGAAGATTATCTAGTTTTAGTATTTATTGGGAGATCTGCAAATTCTTTTTGCCTCTGCTCCTATTATTTGGTATGATAATTTAGGCGCAACTTATTTATCTATAAATCATATCTTTCATGCTTGTACTAAACATGTTGAGGTTGACTATCATTTTGTATAAGACAGGGTTGCAAAGAAAGAAATTCAAATTCGTTTTATATCCTCTTACGATCAACTTGCAAATATTTTTACTAAGTCGCTTCCTACTGCACTATTTACTGTTTTTCGATTCAATCTTCAGGTCAATCCTCCACCCTCAGCTTGAGGAGGTATATTATAGAATGTACCTATATAGAAAATATTATAGGCATACTCTTGTGTTGTAATTTCAATCGTTACTATTGTATATTATCCTATACATATAAATAAAAAGGTTGATTAACTAATAGGTTAAGCCTCTTAATTATTCTCAATTGAATCTAAGACTTTTATGTGTTTTAAGTCAAATTCTTATCATTAACAAAGCTCTAATAGCCTATTTGGAACCAAATCACATATAGAATTGAATTCAAATCCATATGTGATTTGAATTAAATTGACAACTTATTACAATTCTCATGTTTATAATAAAATATCAATCCATAGAATTGAATTAAATTATAATGTTTGGAATACATGCAGAAATGAATTGAATTAACTATTTTGACTATTTTTCCTTTAATTAAAAAATAAACTTGTTACAAAGACTCTTATGATTATATTGCCCTTAATTCTTACATTATTTTTTTTTATCTTTATTTATAAATCTACATCTTGTATTTAGATTTATATAGTTGTTAATCGACTTTTTATTATTGTTTTTCAATGTGGTTTTTCTTCTTTTACTTGTGACTGTTTTGGGCTATATATAAAAGATTAATTAATTAACAATTATTAATATTTTTTTAATCTTAGATCAACTAGCCTAATAGTACGATTAAAGATTTTCAAAAGTTTTCTTTGTTATTCATATCATTAAAAAGGACCAATTGTTATTTAAGAATTTATCCTTTTAATATTTTTATTGGATAGTACAGTTGAGAAATTAAGCCTCCTCCTAGGTTACAGCAAGTTTCACTAGTAAAAATATGACGAGATAACAGTATTTTGAGGTATCACAACATGCACTAGCATATATACTACTTAAAATCAATGGAGTTGATCAATGAGGAAAGTGCTGGTGAGCTGCTTCAAGCTCAAACTCATGTATGGAATCATATATTCAACTTCATAAACTCCATGACTTTGAAATGTGCTGTTCAACTAGGCATACCAGATATGATCCAAAAACATGGCAAACCCATGACCCTCTCTGAGCTTGTTTCTGCCCTACCAATCCACCCATCAAAAGCTCAATACGTCCACCGCCTTATGCCTGTTCTCGTGCACTCTGGTTTCTTTTCCCAGCAAACTCTTGATAGCATTCACAGCCAAGAAGCCTACTCCCTTACCCAATCCACTCGTCTCCTCCTCAAGGATAACCCCTGGAGTAGAAGACCTCTTTTACTTCTGGGGCTCGACCCAGTTCTGACAAAACCATGGGATTGCTTGAGCACCTGGTTCCAAAATGATGAAGCCACCGCATTTAGTGTTGCCCATGAAAAGACACTTTGGGAGTACGCTGACCAAGATCCAAGACTCAACAATCTCTTTAATGATGCCATGGCTAGTGATAGCATACTAGTTAGCAAGTTGGCTGTAAGCAAATGTAAAGGCACCTTTGATGGAGTGAATTCTTTGGTGGATGTCGGCAGGACAAGAAGTTATGAAAAATTTAAATATATTATATTATTTATTAATTATATTAAATATGATTTTTAAATTTTTTATTGTTATATATATATATTTTATTTTAAACATTTATTTTTTTATTTCATTTTTTAGAATTTAATTTTTATATTAATTTTAATCTTTATTTTTATAATTGTTATTTGTTATTTCCTTATCTTTTTTAATTGAAATTTTTTATTTATTAAATTTTGTCCTCATTCTTTGATTGTTACTTATTTTATTTGAAATAATTTATGAAATGGTAATTATTATTATTTTAATTTTTCATCTTCTAATTTTTTTTATTTTTTAGATTTGATCTCTATTATTTTGAATATCATTTATTTTATTTGAGATAATTTATAAAATTATTTTTTTTTTCAATTTCATTCTCGTTCAACCTTTTAATTTGTAAGATTTATTTCTCATTATTTTAATAAACTTGAAAAAAATAAAATATTAATAAGATATTTTTCTAACTCATTTTCCATGACATAACCAAACACTAGAAAGTTTATTATACTGTCAAATATCAGAAAATAATTTATTTTTCTAAAATTTACTTTCCAAAAAAAAAACTATTTTCTAGCAAACAAAAACAAACTTTTTTCTCTTATGTAAACAAATTCATTTTATTTATAAGGATTTATAGCCATCATGTCTTACTAGTTGCTCGTGACTTGTATGGAGTATTAAAATATATTGTTAGAAGTAAAAATTGTTGTTCAAACATTTAGTGAGTAATAAAACCAATAATTGTTAAATCAGAAGAATATACTAAGCAAAAAATTGTTCTAGAAATAACTAGAATTTATTCAAGTTTTAAACTATAAACATGCAATTTTATATACCATTGCAAACTTGCAATCAAAACTAAAAACTATCATCCATTCTAAATGTATATTTAAAGTTGCATAAGAGATAGAAATATAATTCTAACTTGTATACTAATCATATAATATATCCATGATTAGATTAAAATAATGAAGGAAAAATATTTTAAAACAATAAAGTTTTTTATTGTTATTTTTAATAATTAATTCTTTCTCCTTAATGCTTCATTGATCCTCACCTAAAACAATTATGATATTTGCAATATACCCTTTAAGATCCCAATAACACTTTATTGTTTAGATGCACTTCTCAAGAGAGCATCTGAACAAGGTCTAAGAATCAAAGTTAATTGAGTATAAGCTTTAAAGTGGGGGGAAAGAGTTTGAAAGTGTGTAGAATGTGTAAAAAACTTTAAAAATTGAAGTGGGGAAGAATATATAAAATCAGGATAAATAATGAAAAAACTCTTCTTTTACCTTTTTTTTTATAATAGATTATGGAATCAAAACTGATAAAGAATTAATAATGATGATTACTAGAACTGATTTTCATCTTTACCAACTTTGATTAACTTTCATAAAACCAAAACTAAACCTAAAAGTTTTGGATGCTTTTGAGTTGAAAAAACTAATATGATCTAAAGAAACTCTTCTATAAGAAAACTTATTAGATTTATGGGTTGAATTGGACAAAACAATGGGCTAGCAAAATAATTATTTATTAACTAAAGAGTTATTTTATAATAAACCTAAATTTATGATCAAAATATTTTATAAAAAAATAAACCCAAAACCAAGACTAAAGACCTGAAACTTGGATCAAGGAGCTCGAGCCAAAACTTAGCTGATATAATCACGCATGTGTGAGTTAAACTCATACTACTTTACTAAGATTTATTTATCACTCCTTAACTTCCCACTATATAAACAAAAAACAATAAATTATCTCTTTTCTTTTCTATATAGGATAAAGGGTTTTTGGTTTTATAAAAATATGTCAACCAATAGTTCTTTGAGATTAATTCTCATTCATCCATAACTTATTTTAATTATATTAATATTTCATATTAATAAAGTTTTGTTGGAGAATAATTTTTAACAAAGTTTTGACCTTAAAATTGAGTGGACACCACTTTAAATTTGATCTTAGAGATGCCTTTTAATCATGTTTTATTAAAAAACAATTTCAACAATCCTCCATATAAATGAAAATTGTCCGGCTAGTATAAAAGACTTGAAAAGTTATAGAGACATAATAATTTGATAGATCACTACATCAAGATAGGTTTCTTTTAACTTTGAACATTTTTTATTGAAAAACTATCATATTTACTCGATTAAATAGGGAACGCGATGTCTTAAACTATTCGACCTTTAGTGTAAACCAAAAAAATAATATTCACATAGTTTTCTACCTAGATATTTACTTTGATTCTTATTATTATGTTTATTTTGACCCTAAACAAATCTTGGATTTATGAATGTTTTTATAGAAATTTGTCTTTATCAAAGTTCTTAAAGAAATGATCATATTTCTCATTTATATAGGTGATTTTTCATTAAGAGTATTTATTTATACTCTACATGGTATACCAATACATAAAAATAAATAAGAGCTCAACTCATCATTTTATCACACTACAGTTAGCACCTATTTCATCATAGGAATAAACAGGAAATAATATTTTTTTAATGCTACAAAAAATATTATATGACTTAGTTTTCTTTTTGAATTTGGATTTTGAGATCTTTAATCAACTAGTTATGGTCACCATCATTATTCTCTTTTATTTTTAAAGTTTTTAAACCTTTTCTCTTCGATGAATTATACATAAGATTTATTAATAAATCTTTAGTCAATGGATTTGCAATATTTTACTTTGCATTTTCATAGTCAATGAAAATAATTTCAATTGAGAATAAGTATTTAATAATACTATATTTATTATATACATGTCTAAATTGAGCATTATATATTGCTTTCAACTTAAGACTAATTGTCGCATTGGACATAAATTATTGGCACTGATTCTGGCCAACATAGAATATCCTCTAAGCAATTTCAAAGCCTCTCAACTATCTCTGCACCTTTATCAAGAGCAATAAAATTTGATTCCATCATGTATCCTATGACATAATTTTACTTAGAGGATTTTTATGACACAATTACTCCACTATGTGTGAAGACATTTCCGCTAATGGATTTTGAATTCTTAGTATTAGATATTTAATATACATCACTATACCATTCTAATACTATTGTGTAACCAGTATAATATCTTTCATAGTCCAATGTATACCTAAAATATTTGAGTACCTTTTTTATTGCTTTCAAATGATCCATAATTAGATTATTGGTAAATTTTCTTAAAAAAGAGTCACCAATTGGTTGCTCGTTGTTGTGTTATATGTGCCATTGGTGAAAATATCGATAATTAAATACTAGAAAATAACCATTAGCTAGAAAAGAGGTGTTCAGACTAGATAGATATTGTTACCTATTTTTGGATCCCCACACAAAAAAAATAAAAAAAGAAAAAAGAAATAAAAATTATCAAAAGAAAACCAAAAAAATATATAGTAGTGAGAGGAAGACACAAGGGCGTCTAGAAAATAGCCAAAGATTGGTTGATGGAGTTTAAAAATACAAAAAATGAAATTTGATAGTATATATTTTTACTTTTAAAGGCCTTATTTAAAAAGAAATTTTAATTTGAGAAAGAAAAGTCTAAAATTAGATGTTTAAAGACTCAATTAGATTTGTATGAAAGATTAATTAAGTTTATGAATGGTTTGATTGCAAGAAAAAATAATTTTTAAGTATATTTAGGCTTTAATTGGAGGAAATTAGAGTTTAGGGGTCAAATTAAAATTTTTAAGAGTTAATTTAGTCAAATCAGGGGCTTAATTGCATAAATATTGAAGTTTGATGGGCAATTAAGGACTTTATTAAAGAAATACAAAATCAAGGACCAAACTGGAAAAAGGCACGTGAATATAAGGGCTGAAATTGACCAAATTAAAAGCCAAATTAAAGAAATTTGAAGTTTGTTGATCAATTGAGGGTCAAAACACACAAATTTAAAACCAATGATCAAAGTGAAAAAGACGACCAACTTCAAGGGATGCATTTGAATTTGACAAGGATGCATTTGAATTGATTCTTAAAATCAAAATCTCAATTGAGGGTGTTGCGATGTCGTAGTTACACAAATTAATTACCTTAACTTAAATAAACAATATAGTAGAGAGCAAGTAAGGGGTTGAAGGTTTAGTTCAAATTTTTATGTTAGATAATATGTAATTTAGGGGAAGTTTGGAGATTATCTAGGCTACAATAGAATAAAATATTCAAGCTAAATTAAACAAATCAGAAAACAATCAAGAGAACAAACCTTGGTTTCAAGTAGACGTCCACCTACGAAAATCAAATCAATCATTGAAACGATACATCCTTTTATATTCTGAATATTTATCTTTTTTTTAAGGTTAGTTAGTTAACCGATTCGCAGTATAACTAACCCTAACTATCAAATAACCACAATGTCCGCACTAGTAATTTAATTGAATGGCAGCCTTAAGAACTAGACAAGTTAATTAATCTAGGTATATAACTGTCTGCAGTACATATTTGATTTAATCGAATATTTTTTGTAAGATTAATAACATATATCTACTATGATTATTAAACTCAATTGTTTCACAAGTTTATATACCATAACTATGATTTTAATAGCAAATTTAACAATATATTATTTACAATAATAACTTAGAGTCTGCTTTAGCAATTAAAATAAATAATAACAGGAAATCAGCATAGAAAAACAAATATATTCATTATATAAACTATAAAAAAAAGTAAAATAAATCTTACAGTTCTTGAAATCCAAAGGTTTTTATATCCTTACAACCAAGAAAAAGTGTTTAACCTTATATCTTTATTGAACAACTAATCGAAAGGAAAGAAGAATGCATGATTTCATGTTTTTTAAGTAAAGGGTACGTTTTCTCTTCTTTTTTTGGCCAGACCTCTCTTTCCTTTCTCTCTTTCTTTTTATTTCATATGAAACCCTAATTTTCCTTTTCTACAAAATAGTTTTTTTTTT